TATGTACATATTTGTATGTATATATATGTATATACATGTACATATATATATATGTACATATATATATATATATATTTATACATATATATATATATGTTTTATATGTGTGTGTATATGTACATAGGCCTATATATATAGAGAGAGAGTATACACGCTCGACAAATTTGTACAAACACAATAATCTTATTATGCCTACCACTAACTTATGCAAATTATGAACACACGTAGGATTAAATCTCTAATCCCATGACCGGATGTTGATTAAATCACAAGAGCTCGACCTAGGCCTAACCATAAAAAAATATCGTCAAGGAAATTGGTGACGTAGATAAATATTTACCAATGGAGAAGCATAGAGTTCATTGATTGAGGATCGTCTTGCACTCTCCAACCTACTGTACAACAAAACAGCCTTGATCAGCTTTTATTTGTTTGGTGGGTCGAGAGAGACAATACGGTAACAATAGGCTTACCCGGCACCTTGCTAGACTGAACCCAAACATTCTTGAAGTGTGACATGGGACCATAAGTCACAGGCCTCTGAACTGCAGCTAATGACTCTTCTTCGACTCAGAAGGAATTTCTTTATTTAACGCTTCATATTTAACAGTTTAGTTGGAATTCCGTGGGTCATAATGGATGATTTCAGCACCGAGGAAGAACCTAGAGATGTAAGGTAAATTGGAGTTGCTAATATTTAATACAGTAACTCACTGTTCATTATTATACCGTAGAGAAATCATCTATTTTCTCTATGATTATACTGTATCTCTCTATATGCTATTTGAATTTGAAGTCTGGTTACACATTTTACTTGTACAAATAGGCCTACACAACAGTCAACACTCGTTTTATTTGCATGTGGTTAAATCGACAGGATTATCTACGTGTCATATCACAATAGAGTAGGCCTATCTTTCTCACTACTAGGCATAAGGAGGGTATTAATTGAACCTAAACTATATACATAAAATTCTCAAAGTATAAATAAAAAGGTCAATAATTTTAGCACTATGAGTAGGGTGTTCTATTGGTTTACCGGGTTTTTTTTGACATATCCTACAGTAACCTTGTAAAGTTTCCGCCTAAAATTTCACAAACAATAGGCATTCCATTACATCTGACCGCCAAGAAGTATAATGGATGCACATTACAGGGAGCTTAAATACTGTATACACCTAGCTCAGCGATCCACAGTTTTGCAATGGGCACTAGAGCGCAGCATGTAGCTCCTATGCGGACCAATGCTGATCTATGCTCTCACACTGAAAACGTCAAAAAAAGAAGAAATTTGAACAATATATTTAGACATGAAAGTGAAACTCCTTTGTGAAATGGTAACAATTAATTTCATATGCAGGCTGTACAATAGAACAACAAAATTGATTCAACTAGCCCAACACCTCAACTCGATCATTGACTACTGTACTACTGTAGGTGTCGGCCTGTACTGAGCCCGCAAATGTAAAAATCCACCACAATCCACCTTCTCTTGGCAAAAAAATCATTTGATATGCCATAAATCTGTCACTATTTTAGTTTTGTATTTTGATAGTTCCATGACAAAATACATTCAGTTTTATAAAGTCTAGCTTTTTGTTTTCTTTTTGTCAAAATAATGGCAGCGTAAAAACGATTGCCACATAGACCTTCAGGCGCGTCGGGGAAGCTATTTTTATTGGTCCGGCCAAATATACACAATCACCATTGCATTAATATGACTTGTTTTTATTAGTTTTGTCTTCGTAGCTCAAAACACACACTATTCTATTACGTCAATCATTCATACTTGTACTAAATATATAAATTAACCATTCATGCTTTATCATTAATATTTGTCACCATGGGTTAATATTAACCTACGTACAAGCAATAGTAGTTAATAAACATTGCTTTAACAGTAGAAATGATATTTCTACTAGTTAATAAACATTGCTGTAACAGTAGAAATAATATTTTGAAAATGATGTTTTATCATTTCGGCCTGCTCAGTATGTTGAAAAAAAAACTCTAAAAAAATTGACACGTGTTCGTCTCGAACCAGGGCCATAGCTACGGGTTGTACGCATGTATATTGGGCGGCCTGGGCCTTGTCATAGTAGGGAATTTTTTAAATGAAAAAAAAGTGAAAATCGATCAGTTTAATTGATTATAATTGAGTGGGTGCGATGGCACCGTCTGCACCCAAACCCAACCGCCCCCCCCCCCACCACCACATCCGCATTTGTATCAATTGTATCCGCTAAGTTCGCCCAAAATTTTATTTACTTATTTATTTATTTATATCGGACAGTAGGTCCCTCGCGACGAAGCATAGTGTAGCTGATCATTGAATCGAACATAATCTTGAAAATACCGCAAAATAGGTTCTACAGTATAAGGATGATTATGAATAATTCATGTGCTTTCACTAAACTATCCTACGTTAAACGAATCGCCGGCGGCGTGGATGTGGGGGGGGGGGGGGTCGATCGCACCCCCTAAATTGTATTAAGAAAAATATTTGTTAAATTGTTGAAATGAAATACCGGACACATGTTTTATTTAATTACCATACCGTCATCATTTTATAGCAAAATGCTAGGTTTTTATAGTTTTAATCTTTACTAAAATGACTGGCCTGTTTCTGAGGTACACATAATAAATTTTAAACAGTGATATTTAATATTTTGACTTTTTACTACTTTACTATTTTAACTTGTTAATATCTTAACGTATTTCTCGTCATTGCCAAGTTGTCTTGTGATTTTTCATGTAATTTTATCCTTTTTAACCAAAGGAAAAACAAATTCCTACTTTAAAATGGACAATGAAGTTTTCTTGAATCTAGAATCTTTTTTATAGGTATGTGAGCATCCGTCAACTTGTATAAATATAATAGACCTATAGTCATTGTTATTCATATTATTACTTTTCATAATACGTTCGTGTTTCTTGCATTTTATTTATTTATTGAGGAATAAGCATCGCGTTTCATATAATTATAGAAATGATAAGAAATTCTGAACAATATATTTGTCTATCATTTTCGCAATACTCTGTCTTTCATATTACTTAAAACACTTCACACATTCTTTACCTGTGTGATTACTGTACTCTCGAAAAAGGGTCCATCGTAACCTAGTTTCGCCACTGGGAAAATGCAGTGGCAGATTCGAGGGAGGTCCCAGTCGCCCCCTCCAAATTTTTAAAAGTAAAAAATATAAAGGAGAAAAAAAAACAAAAACAGAAAAATGTAAACAATTTAAGTCTGAGAGTACATTTCCGGCAATCCGGTGCCATAATCATAACATTTTCCCCTCAGTCCTAACCATGGTGGGCTCAAGTTGGTGGTCTCTGAAAATCTCTCCTTGGGCTCAATTTTTTTAACGTACGTTAGCTTGGTAAAATTTCATGAATTATTTATAATCATCCATAGAACATATTTTGCGCATGCCCTATTTACAAGTCTGTGTCACCCTCTATGATCAGGTGCCCTGTGCATCGCAAGGGACCCAGTGTTCGATTTACAAAAAAATAAATAAAATTAGATTTTGGGCGAAATTCACTGAATTATTTCTTAGCAGTTTTAATTAATTAAGTAAATTCTTGCATTTAGTGCAGTAATATAACGTACCAGATGATAAAGTTAATATTAAAAACAGCCATTTTAATATACATTAAATGCTTAATTGTTTTGATTTCGAATTAGCTCACAGTCACATTCATATTCACATGTATAATTATAGAAAATTTAAAGTATCAACTATAAATGAAAATATGAAAATGAGATGTAATGAATTACATTAGAAGCAAAGCTTTTAACATGTAACAATTTTAAATAATAAAATAATTAATTCTTAAAAGAAAAAAACTTAATCTAGACCTAAGAAAACTTTAGATGTAAAAGTATCCCCGCCGGACACCATCCCGGTATTTCCGAGTCGAGGTTTCGGGGCCTGAATAAACAATTTTTACTAGAATTAATCTAGCATTCTAGTCTTCTAAACTTGAAACTATAAACTTAGCCAAAACTTGAATGCTATAAAAGAGCATTTTAGCTTCCTTGCCCCTAGTACCTTATTTAACAGCCTTCCTGACGACTTTCGAAAGTTTAATTCAATTTATTGTTTTAAACGAAACTATTAGTATATTGAAGACGGAGAATTATAGAGTTTATTTTCAAATTATATAATTACTAAATTGTATATAATTAATGAATTGTATATACACCCTTTGATAAATTTATTCTTTCATTGTTTGAGTCTTACCCCATGCCTATTTGAATGATTGATATATTATTATATAATATATTATATATTATATTATTATATAATATATAACAATAACATTATCTAATTGTATATATTTATTTTATTAATTTGTTACTGAGTAGGCCTATATATATATTACCCCATGCCTATTTGAATGATTGATATATTATTATATAATATATTTTATATTATATTATTATATAATATATAACAATAACATTATCTAATTGTATATATTTATTTTATTAATTTGTTACTGAGTAGGCCTATATATATATTATATATATATAAACATAAATCAATATATACATAAATCAACAAAGAAAGGTAAATACAGTGTTCGAATAAAGGACATAATAATACATCGTGTACTGTAGCATAGCTCTGATGATTTATATAATTTAACAGTGTTAACGGCTATCTTGATTTATATTATGCAACTATATACGTATATATTATATACATATATATACATATATATATTATATATATATATATATATATATATATAATACATTTATTTTTATATATAAGTGGTGACTCAGTGTATGATGTTGTATTTTATTTATTAACGAGGGCCCTGAACATCAGCCTCCCTTTGGGGAAGTTGAATGGCTACCCCTCTTTAAACATTGTTGAAATAAAACAAAATAAAATAAAATTCCCCTACGGACGCCATCCCAGTATACCTAATTATACAGTAAAAAATGAAATCATTTCAAATTTGTTCCCTGTTTTTAATAAGCTGAATGTGCAAGTTATGTTTGATTGCGTCAGAGAAAGTAGAATTTGGCTTACAAACGATATTAAGTTGTAAATAATTATCGGTCAGGCCAAAACCGGACCAGCCGGACCGCTTCCGACGCCCTTGACTTTAAATATCTGTTTGATCCTAAAGGTAGAGTACTCGCGGTCACCATACATATCGTCAGCAGTTAAGTAGAGTCTTTCAATATTTTAAAGAATTTAAAGCTTAAAAAACCTCACACACACACACACACCCCCGCACACAAACTGTGTAAAACATTGGTATAGACGCAAGAAATCATTCTCATCTCAGATTATGGTCGGTGAAGGTAAAGATGTTACACCACATGCTGACGTATCAATTTATTAACTTCTGCACAGCGTTTTATTGGTCTATGTGGAAATGCATAAATGATAATCATAATGGTGATGATGATATTGATGATGGCAATGAAGGATAATATGTCAAATAATAATGACAATGATAATAATACAATCACGATAATCATATTAGCGAAGATGATGGTAACGACGACGATGAAAATAGCCATGATAATGACCATGATGAGAGATAATAATGAAATGATAATTCTTTATTCAATCTGACCAAAAAAAATAAATAAAAAAAATAAATAAATTTTTCACTATAGGAAAGTAAACGCCCTCAATGGTGAGCGGTAGATTTGTGGCTTTTAGAAGATTTTCATGTTTTTCATTAATAGCTTGGTCTACTGTCTATGTTGAGCCAATAAACATGAAAAATAACATTTAATAGGCCTACTAAAATCGCGTACTTTGCATATTTAGGTTATAATTTCTATTAATTGCAAATTAGAATTCGGTAGTCCTAATAAAGTAGCTCGTAGAATGACGTATTCTTATTCTTTGTTTACTCAGAGAACGAGCAAAAGCACGTCGCAGAAAGGTTGTGATAATTGTCTTAGTTATTCTGCTATGCGTGATAGCTTTTGCTATGGTGCTAGCGTTTAGCTTTGTGAACAGGAACCATGGCGAAAAGAATGATACTAACACCGGCCGGTTCAGCAAGGCCGCTGTTGCTACGGACGTCCCTGAATGTTCTGAAATGGGAAGGTATATACAAATTGTTTTAATTATTTTCTTTCACTTCACAATATTATTCCATAGGGCAAGTAAATAGACCTTTAAAGCGCTAGGTTCTGTATATAGAGCAGGATATAGTTAATACACTTTAGACAACTTCCAGTGGAATGCAATAGTTTTAAGCAGAAACTTTCGTGCGCCATCTGATTGTTTCAGTCCGAGCATGTAAAACTACTTTATATGCTCGGACGGATTGTTTCAGTCCGAGCATATAAAGTAGTTTTGGCTGTAATGCAATTCTTATTTTCAATCATCGTCACTGATTGTTTCAGTCATTAGGCATCGTTAAAATTAGTTTTGGCTGTAATGTAATTCTTATTTTCAATCATCTTCATTAATGATTCTAGTCTGCAAAGCACTTCTCAACATTTCTTTCCCATTGGTTTAATCAGTTGAGATTAAGCTCATTACTTTAATCATTATACCCTTACAGTTCGATTCTGCAAGCCGGGGGCTCTGCTGTTGATTCGGCTATAACGTCGATGTTGTGTATTGGTTTAGTACACGGCCAGTCATCTGGAATCGGTGGTGGGACGTTTATGCTTATTTATGATAGGGAAGCTAAAGAGACGAAGTTTATTGATGCAAGAGAAACTGCTCCCGCAGCTACCACCCCCGATATGTTTAACAGTGATCCAAAAAGTACAGAATACGGTAAGATTAACAACAATTGCCTCTTCTAGTCACAATCTACATTCGTTCCTTTGGAAGTTTTAAAGTGTCTGTCATTTGTAAAACGATGAGGGTGGTGTGGGTGGGGCTTAGTTTGTGTGCGTGCACTCGGAAGGAGACGATTGGGATTTAGTCCGTAACGTACCGTATGCAATGAGAAAGGTTGTTGAGTGATCTACCTTTAGCGTGCATTGGGATTATGAATGAGTTGGTGACTGCTTTATTGTTATTCTGGCAATCAAGAAGACAGTTGGATACCGAGAGGGCCTGGTGTCCAAGTAAACTTTACTATAACATTATGGCCGAGAACCCTTCCCAGCATCCAGTAATTACAAAACAAATATACAGTACCGGTACCTGATCTTTCAGTGACTACCGTATTATATACTGTTTCGTAAACTCTCTATAACTTGATTTCCATACAATCACTACACTCTATCGCCGACAGCTTTTGGTGATGCTGATTTGTCGGCCGAACCAGGAAGCCTTCCCGATTGCGCTGGGGAATGCTACGCTACGAGTACAACAATTGCACTGAAAACATGTAGCGACAGTGTACTGATATTAAGGAAACCAGGCTTTATGCTGGTGGACGTCTGCCCAATAGATTACTGTATAAATTGGCCGAGCAACATTTTAATTGACGTTTCAATTCGGCTACAGGACATTTGATCGAGAATGGTTTCGCTGACATCGTTTGGTCGGCAGATGATTTGATCAGCAGCAGAATTTCGTCAGCCGGGTCAACTCGTCTGCAGGCGTGTCTCCGAAAAGACATTCTACAGACTTTAATTTGCCGAAAGTGGTGTCACCTATAGGTTTCACCAACATAACAGTATCTACTTCATTGTGTTTGTCGGTAAATTAGCTAACAATAAAAAATCAATCGAAATGTATGTTCGGCCAATAAAGTCCGTCGACTATTACCGTTCTGAAATGACTTTTGAACATATATCGTCCGAATTTTTAATCAATCAATCAATAATAATTTTTGTATACATACTTTAACAGTACTGAATATGGTACGCATTATAAGTAGGCTTTACCAAGACCAACTTAATTCACAGGTGCCTTGGCTATTGCAACACCGGGCGAACTTAAAGGAATGTGGGAAGCCCACCAAAAATATGGTAAACTTTCATGGAAGGAATTGTTCGAACCAGTGATAGCATTGGCACGCAAAGGTTTCCCTGTTACCAACCATACCGCAAGGGCGCTAGGCAATCTTGTTGCCAGTGGAGAGTCGTGGATGCCCGTTTCTCAGTAAGTACTGCATTATATTAATATCCTTTTTCTTTATTATTATATTTTTATTTTATCGTAACTCAGATTGCTATCATTGCTCGTGATTTGTTTTTAGCCCTAACTTGTTAAGTGCAGAGATTTTAGTTTTAATTGATTTGACGATTTTGTACGCATTCTCAGTATTCACCCAGTAGTAGAGGGTACCAAGCACTGATTCTTTTTGCTTATGAAATGTTTATCAGGAAGCTCAGTATGTGTTCTATATTGATCCGATGACCAAGAGTAATAATAGGCCCTTTTTTTTTTGTTAAAACTTAAAAAAATAATGACTAGAAAATACATCTTTGTTCGAACTTATTAACTTTCTTGCTGTGTTAAAATATTAACTATTAAGGTTCATTGAAATTATTAATTTTTCTCTACAAGGGCTTGGAAAGATGTTTACTATAAAGATAATGGGACCCGTCCTAAAGAATATGGCGACATCGTTATTCGCAGCAACTATGCCGACACGTTGCAACGTATCGCTAATGTTGGTTTGTCAGAATTCTATAGTGGTCACACAGCGGACATGATTATGCAAGACATAAACACCTACAGTGAGTTTACATATGTTTACAAACCTAAATTTATCGGCTGATCGATCGATCGATCAGACTATTAATCACTTGTGAGTGTTGTCTGTAGTAGGCCTATATTGTAAATATCAACAACAGGATCCCCTCTCCCACTAGGGTATTTTTCAACACACGAGTTACTCGGCAAAAACTTAGGACGATTCGGGGGAAGCTCGGGGAGAACTTTACACTCGCGTAGCAGCTCTGAACTCGTGGTGCTAATTTTGAACGTGTTCAAAAATAGTGATACTCGTAGGTATAACTCGTACACTAATCGGGATACTCGTTTGCAATCCACGAGTTTGATGTGAGCACCCCGAAATGAGTAGCCCCAGGAACATTTGGTCGGAATAATGCTAGTACAAACT